GCCGAGCTGAGGGGCTCGGTGACCCCCGGTGTAACCCGGCCGCCGAGCTGAGGGGCTCGGTGACCCCCGGTGTAACCCGGCGTGCTGAGCTAAGCGCTGCTGTCTGCTCTCCCGCTAGGCAGTGCTGGAGGGCTGTCTGGCTGCCCTGCGGCAGGAGGTGCAGGCAGCTCTTCAGTGTGAGCAGGAGACGGAGGCAGAGGTGAAGAAGCTGAAGGTGAGAGGCAGGTTTTCTTTCACTTGTCCCATCAGTGTGCCAGCTGGCACTTTTTCCACACTGGAGAATGTGTAGCAACACATCTGACAACGGTCAAGCATGCTTTCTATGTCTTTGTAAGTCACTTACAGGAAAAGCATGAGTCTGGTTTGGAGGTGTAACTGGACTGTATTGTTTGTCCCTTTTTGTCTGGTCTTAAGTTGCTTATGACTAAAGTGACCCATCTTGAACCGAGAGCCTCGGACGCAAGGATCCATTTCTCCCTCTGTATAGTTTACTAACTCTCTTCATGTCTATAATCTAACTTCCTCCTTCACTCATGCTAAGGTGCTAGAAATCTTCATTTATCTTTTTTAAGCTCTTTCTGTCATCTTCCTGTGACATAAGGGGCTTCCCTGTCACACAGCTTGTGACCAGTTCAGCTTTTTGGAAGTCTTTCACGGATGTTATTCCATGCTAGATTCAGTTTCGCCCAGCCAGATGAGCTCTTTTACTCATTGCTACATGTGTGCTTTAGGCTTGGTTTGCATGCTAAGGCATGTCCAAAGTAAGCTCCAACCTTCCTCACGCTCGCAGTGGTCAGTGGCTGTGAACTTGGCCTGGACTGCCTGAGTGCGCGTGGTCAGTGAGATCTGCAGCAGGCTGCTGCTGAACACTTTCCTCTACTGCTGCCATAGGAGGCTAGTAGTACAGACAGATGTGGACAAGGGCCGTGCAAGTGTTAAAGGATGTTCACCAAATAGCGCACATCTTTCCTACACCAGAACAAGGGCGGAGACAAGTGTGTGGGTTTGAACACTTACTAAATCTCTGCATGTCACAAGTTACTGAAGTGAAGGGGGAAAAGTCTCTGCATTGTGTGCACCTGGTAATTTGCTTGGGGGAATTGTGCAGTCTCCATGCCCAATGTATGACCTGTATTAATAGCTGGGGAAAGTATTGGAGACCGGGCAACAGAGACAAAGACTTTGAAAACAGCTAGGCGTGCCAGTCTCAGCATTTTGTTTTACATTATTTTATTGGACAGGGACAGCGCACAGCCATTAAGCTCCATCAGTGTTAGCTAACAAACTAATTTACATCTGCAGTCCTTGGGCAGGACACAAGCACCCAGCAAACCCAACAGTGACACCAAGAGTCAGATTTAAGAGATGCAGCTGCCACGTCTCTCTGCATCGGGTTAAATGTTTACACAGGGGGATGTGCAGGCCACAGCCTTAAAAAGGTACGTTTTGTTATTACGTCAACAACAATTGAGCCCCCCCAAACCAAATAGAATGGGACTGTTCTGCTGACTGCAGAAGCGAGGGGGGTTCAGGGAGGGAAAGCAGCTGCAAGTTGCTAGCACCCAGCGTGTGTGTGTTTTATAATAATAATAATAATAATAATAATAATAGCTTATACTTATATAGCGCTTTTCTGGACACTCCACTCAAAACGCTTTACAGGTAATGGGGACTCCCCTCCACCACCACCAATGTGCAGCATCCAGCTGGATGATGCAACGGCAGCCATAGTGCGCCAGTATACTCACCACACATCAGCTATCAGTGGGGAGGAGAGCAGAGTGATGAAGCCAAATCAGAGAGGGGGATTATTAGGAGGCCATGGGAAATTTGGCCAGGACACCGGAGTTACATAATGTCCCCGTCACTATACTGGGGCATTCGGACCCACGTGGACCCCTGCTGGCCCCACTAACACCCCTTCCAGCAGTAACCTTAGTTTTTCCCAGGAGTTTTTCATCCAGGTACTGACCAGGCTCACACCTGCTTAGCTTCAGTGGGTTGCCAGTTGTGAGTTGCAGAGTGATATGGCTGCTAGCCAGTGATAAAATCCATTTTCTTCCCCCTGTTGGGGGGGTGGGGAACAGGAGCAAACGACGGACATGAAGGGTCGCATTGAGGCGCAGTTCGGCGAGCTGCACCAGTTCCTCGACCAGGAGGAGAGGATGCTGCAGGTGCAGCTGAAGACGGAGGAGAGGAGGGCTCTCATTCAGCTGGACGAGAGGAAGGCCGTGCTGAGCCTGGAGGTCTCCCGGCTGCAGAGGGCCCTGGGGGATGTCGAGGAGAGGCTCCGGCAGCAGGACGCTCATGTGCTGCTCACGGTAACCGCAGTAACGGCCCTGACCGGCTTCGCAGCTGTGTAGACAAAAACCGCCTATGAAGGGGATTAAATCATTCTTTCCTTTTTCTGGAAATATGAAAATGTGTGCTCATTTCACAAAAACATACACTTTTTATACACAAAAAAAGGCATTTTAAAATGAGGGTGAAAAGTAGTAGTTTCACTTTACTATGAATTTCATCCAGTGAATGTCTGAAGTCAGAGGTTTTAAATTTCTCAGACCAAAAACAGGTCATAGCTTGTTTATTTTTCAAAAAAGCATAAGTCAAAAACTGGACTTCAAGAAGTCAAGATGTCATTGAACTGTAATGCAAAACTTTTGTTATTGTTGGATTATAAAAATTGTATTTGTTCTAACTAAAATGGGGATAAACTTGCTAAGATTTAATTTTTAAAAGTGTTATACTCCGTTCGGTTCTAAGTTCTCCTGTGTTCTCTTGCAGAATGTAAAGCACCTTCTCAACAGGTGAGTGTTTCTTGCCATTGCCATTCCTACTGAGGGCTGGCAGCGTCAGTGACAGGGAACTGTGCTGTGTGTTGGCTCTTTCCTTTTTTTGGAATCCGCAGTAATTTCCTGTGATAAAATCTGTTCTAAATTGTTAAATTTTTCATGAACTCGGCTCAGTGTTGAAAGCCCTGTATTGCACATGGGAACAAGAATCTGTTGAATATTTTAATATCTCTTTAATATCTTAGTGGAGTTTATGAGAACTCTAGGAACAATTATTCACCACTCATATCGTATATCCTTTATTATATATGTGCAATGAATAATATAACAGCAGTGAAAGAAAATAAAATATCTGAAATCCAAAAACCTGAAGACTTGAGCTTAAAATCTGTGATTTTAAGGTTTTGTTTTACATCTGCCAGGTGCGAGGAATTTAGATTACTCTTGGCTGGACTATAGTGTCACTCCAGAGATACGTCTCTACTTCGTGTTGTCCATTTATTTACTGGATCCTGTTCATTTGTAAAAAAAATATATATTTTTCTCTTTATAGTTGACTGAATTAATGTATTAATGTCCAGGTCTCTTAAGCAGAATAGCCTTGTTTCCTTGGCGTCTCTGCTGAAGGGTTCTGTCTTGTTCTGCAGGCCGCAGGTGAAGTTTGAGAAACCGGAGCCAGTCAGGGTTGGCGTAAGCGAGGGGAGGTTCGCAGGGCCTCTGCAGTACAGAGTGTGGAAGAGCATGACAGCTGTCATTCACCCAGGTACAGCACTGACAGGGGCAGCGCATGGTGTCTGTGTACCAGGATACGTTCACATCACCCAGGCCGACATCTCAGATTGTAAATCAAGCCTACGGGAAGGGATCTGAAGAAAAAAAAATCGGTCATTAAGTAGTCATCCAGTAAGCAGGGAGTATGAAAACTATTCAGTACTTGCTGCCTTTCAGGGTACAGCTTGTCTGCAGCATGCCAACATTAAAAAGCACAGGCTTGTCCTGTATCATGCAATGTTAATAACTGGCAGATCAGAAGGTATGAAAATAAAGAAGGCTGAAATGTAAGTGAGAAACAGTGATAAATATCATAATCCCCAAATACTGGGGATCATTCATATTCCTCTTCTTTAAGCTCTTCCTGTGGCAATTGTATCCATTTTGAGGTTTGGTGGAAAAAATTGACCACACTATTCCAAATGATATCTATTAGTAAAGCTTCTAGTGACCCCACTGGTCTTGGGTCCTGGGTTCGATTGCACTATGGGGTGTCTCCTGTTTGGACTTGTTATTCTGTGTGGGATTTGCTTGTTTTCCCTATGGCCATGTGGGTTTTCTCCATAGACTCCAGTTTCCTCCCATGGTCCTAAGACTATACTGTCTGGGTAAATTGGCATCTCTAAATTGTCCCCATATGTCCGTGTGAGGGCACATGATTGTGTGCCCTGAGCTGGAGGGCTGTCCCCTTTGTGGTATGCCCTTCCCAGTGCCCGTAGTCTACGAGGTTGTGATCCAGCCCATCTTGACCCAGCGTTGCACCAAGTGGTTACTAGAAATGGAAGGCTAGTTCAGACCATGTCATTTTAAGGCTAGATTTAAATGTGCATTGGGTTGCATTCATTCACTTTTTTGTGTTGACGCATGGTAGACAGTGCTTCTCCACCATGCGAGTCCTCTTTCTTGCACCACAGACAAACAGCCTGCTCCTTTGACAATGTCTCAGCTCTCTGCTGCTGCTCAGCGGCGTTCTGGGAAAATATGGATGTGCCGCTGTGTGTGGGTCAGAGCTCCTGCCATGGTGCAGTTTATGCAAAAATGACTGGATGGAATTGAACAACTCCCACTGGCATATGCTCTGACGTGTAGGACTCTCCAGAACCAGACAAACATGTGCAGACAATACTGAGCTGTAACTCTAGCCAGTCATTCGTCAAAAAGCCTTAAAAGTCTATTAGCAATAAATAGAATTCGAATGCCACCAAGCCTGTTTTAGGACTTGTTATAGTGTCACAGAAGGTCACTGGTTCCATGACAGGTGTGGACCTTTAAAACACATGGTCCAAAGGTCAGCATCCCACACTGACTTTCTTTTCTCTCTTCAAGCTCCTGCTCCCATTACTCTGGATCCAGACACCGCCAACCCCTGGCTCAGTCTGTCTCCCTCTCGCAGCTGTGTCAAGTATGAAAACCATTACAATTCATTGCCGGACAACCCAGAGAGGTTCAACCCTGCCTTGTCCCTGCTCGGCTCTCAGGGGTTCACCTATGGGACGCATTACTGGGAGGTGGAGGTGGACAGCATCACAGTGTGGACAGTAGGTGTGGCTTGCGAGTCTGTGGCCAGGAAGGGGGTGATCAAAGCTTTGCCTGCAAATGGCTTCTGGACTCTCTCATTGTCATATGGGATTCAGTACATGGCAGGAACAGCACCACCAACCATACTGTCTCTGGAAGTCAAGCCCAGCAAGATCGGAGTCTTCTTGGACTGTAAGAGGGGGCTGGTGTCGTTCTACAATGCGGATGATATGAGCCACGTCTACACCTTCAAGGATAATTTCACAGAGAAGCTCTTCCCCTACTTCAACCTGGGCTTCCTGGACAAGGCCATCACCAACGAGCCGCTGAAGGTGTTCCTCCCGCAGGTGTGACGAGGGGCGGCCAGCCTTTTTCCCTGGTCCCTGTTCCTTTTCTTTTATGTTAGCAGACAAGATGTTGTACCCAAACCAAGTCCGTTAGTAGCTGAGTCAGGAGCAGTGGTGAGCAGCAGACCCAGATTTGATTCATAGTTATCAGCCGCTGTCTCGCATACCTCCCCCGTGTGTGTGCTGTGTGTGACAGTGTTGCTAACAGGAACAGGGTGCAGCTAGGTAGCACTAAGCCCTCAATATGTTGCAAGTGGGTGGGAGCTTTTCTGTAAAGTTCACTTGTGGTGCTTGGGACTCAGTGGGGATCCATGGTCTCCAGAATCAATGTGTCCTGCAAGTATTTTTGCCACCTTACAAAACAAAATAAAAAATGTGGGACTTGTTTTGAGGGGGGGTAGGGCTGGTTGTAGTGCATGGGGTTGTGGTGCAGTCTTTAGTTATTCTCTGCAGGGGCTCCCATTTGCAGTTACTGTATTTCTCTTCTCACAGTATTTCTGCTACATGTCTGCTTTCTTTGAAACCGTACTCCATTCTCAATTCCTGGAACATCTTGGCTGGACACATGGGATCAAAACCTAGCCAATCTGAGCCAAACACTGGACAGGTGGAAACCCTGTCTGGCATTTTGTGAATATTGTGAAGAACCCAGCAGCTGCTAGAATAAGACTGCAGGAAATGCTATTAATTAAGGCAGGCATACAGGTGATGTACAGAAGCCCGTCAGCACCCTGGGGATGTTTTGCCTGCCTGTCTGTAGCTTGTAAACTTTTGAGAGGTGTTTGCTGTGGCTATTAATACTGATATTGTCAATGTACTGTACTGTGTGAATTTCTGAGATAACTTTGAAGCTACTATACTGTATTCACCAGAGAAGAAAAAGTATGTGCACGTTATTTTGGATACTTCATGTTATACATTTAAAATTATCATATATAATTTTAGAGTGAGATTTTAGTGAACAAAATTTCACAAGTACTTACAACATTCTCTATATGTGAAATAATGCCACAGAGACTATTATATATTGCTTATGCCGATTCCTTTTTTGATGTTTTAAGTTTCCTGTATAACTATTATTAAATATTTTACATACTGTTTGAAAAATGTATCTAGAATTGAGGTTGCAGATTCAAGTATTTGGTTGGTTCCAATAAGAAAAACCACAAAGAATGTGAAAGTGAACTTTTTGCTTCTTGATGTGCAAATACTTCAATATGAAATGAAATTAAATTCTACCTTGCTTAAATCCATACTAATACACAAATTCATATTGGTATCGCCCACCATTACGCCAGAGCCCAGGTATGAGTGTGCGGCCTCTGGTGTAATGGTGGACAAGACAAAAAGGAGATTCATTATCAGTTGTGCACATTAACAATCAATAAGAGTTAGCAAACAGGCAGTCACATTGCAAGTTGGATGTAAACACTAAAATACATTTAAATAATAAAGTCAATATCTATTAAAAAACTTGAGATTTATAATGCAAATGTTTTTTTTTACGAAAACAGAAGTCAAGTTAAATAGTAACATGAACATGAACAGGACTGGAAGATCTGTTTTTCAGGACACACCCACAGGTCGGTCTGCTGGTGTGAAATGGGGGATGGGACAGCAGTTCAGAATGTCACCCTTCTTCTCCCTGCTCTGGAGCTCATGTTGGGCGTGCGTTTGTGGGCATGCACCTGGGCACGAACTGCTGCATGTCTGAGGACACTGCCCGTGAAGGCTGGCTTTGGCTGAGTTTGGAGAAGTGGAGAGCTCTGTGGAAAGTACCATATCGCAAGGAATATCCTGATTCCATAAGGAAGGCCAGTCCAGGACTCCGCATCGTGTGACCCAGTAAGTGTTCAGGTTGGATGAGGACGAATGGCCAGTACATGTTTTCAACCTCGATAATGTTCTTACGCCTTGCTCTCGGGTGTTGGACTGTGGCGAGCTGCCAGACTACATAGCCACAGTGGGATCCTGGGTTTCAGAAAAAAATGAGGGGATATTATCTAGAAGACCTTTGTCCTCACAGGCCTTGAATAGGGAAACTGAAATGCATATTTTGGGGATTGAATGCTATTGTATAGCAGTACTTGACCAGCATTTATAGCCCAAGGTTGTTGTTTAGGGCAAGTACTACAAAACAACAAACCCTGGGGTACAAGTGCAGGTCAAGTAATAAGACACCTGTACCCCAAGGTTGTTGTTCAGATGAACCAGATAGTTCAGATGAAAAAAGATTCTGACACCTGTTCTGAGTCTCTTTTTCGGCAAATACAACTATTTTGTGTTTATTTCTGACTTTTTGTAGTGCTTTTAGTGTTTTTCATATAGTAAGTAGTACAAAAGAAAAACCAAACAAAACTGAAAAGTATGATTTTTCACAAAGAACAGGACTTTATTACATAGCTCAGGGGTGTGACATCTCAATTTGAGTAATTGATGTTTATTATAGTATTTCTATTGGAATTTGGAATGCATTTATCTATTTTAACTGGAAACAGTCAGATAAAGATAATTATATATGTCTAGATACATAAAACATGCCCAGCTACTTTCTACCCTAAAAGGCGACAGAGCCTTTTGCTAAGGGCACAGGTCTAGACTTACCCTGCATCCTATGCCAACCTTTCACTTATTTAGTCAAATCAAGAAAGAGACAAATCTTAGCCCACCTGCTTTTAGATAGGCTGTTACATCTGCACAAAAAAAATCAATATGTAATTAAATTGTCACTTTTACTGAGGAGGGCTCTGGTGATTGTGTCTGTGTGTGTCTGAACAATCACCTGCCCCTGGTCCTCATGTCGTCAAAGCTGGGGGTGTCTGGGATACCCTTATTGAGCATCCTGGGCTTCTGGGTCTTTGAGGAACCTTAAAGTTCTTGCAGACTTGCAGGAGGACTCCAGCACTGCACTGGCTGGTGGGCTGATACTATTCCAGGGAAAGAGACCCTGACTCCCCCATCAGTGCAGCTGGGAAATCCTATTCCTTGAATTTGTGTGCTGCCAGGGTCCGTGCTGCACAAGAGAGTTTATAGGAGCCGCTCTGCCTGAGTCTGGTGGTCTGCCAATATGTGGTCTTGAGGGACTATGTCCTTGTATCTGACAATGTTAACCTTTGGAGCTCTTCACAGAACATGGGGCCTCCTGCTTTTCTCTGTTAAGAGATCCTGACGGTTTTCTGAGCTGGTATGGATGACTTCCTGTCAAAGCCCACAACACTTCCTGTTTTCCATGCGCTATCCAGCACTTTCCCCTACAGTCTCACTTAACCTGTCCTGGCAGCCTTTACCAAGTGAAAACCAGATCATACAATGGAAAACTCAAAAAGGGACTGCAAATGACACAAATCCTTTAGATTTCCACCTAGTGTTTTAATACCTTGTGCTCCTTGTGTAACACTAAAACAAATGTATCAACCTGAATGAAAAGTTAAGCTTTCAACTCTACATGTCTTAACGCACACTATCAATGGTTTGCGGTACCCAGGTCTCCACAAGTACTGAGGAAAAGTTATTTTATAAAATATTTCTTCATGACTGTTAACTGCGTAAACAACCTGGCTTTCCTCTCTTTGTACCTGTACAATCATCTAGGCTGCTTTGGTCCTGAAGACGCAGCACAGCGTGCAGTTAAAAACTTTCTCCGCGCCGGGACTCTGAAAGCACTGGCACACTAGGTGCAGCTGTACTGTCTCTCTCGACTGTGAACTTCCCAGTGAAGTTTTAGGCTGTGCGGATGAGTAAAAGTCTTCCCACACTGGGCGCAGCCGTAAGGTCTCTCTCCACTGTGGGTCCGCTGGTGAACTTTAAGGTCGGCCAAGTGCTTAAAGCGCTTTGCACACTGGGCGCAGGGATACGGTCTCTCTCCCGTGTGAATGTGCACATGTTTTTTATGGTTTGCAAACTGCCTGAAGGTCTTCCCACAATAGGTGCAGCAGTAAGGCCTCTCTCCAGTGTGAATTCTCTGATGTACTTTAAGATTTTGTATATAACTGAACGTCTTCCCGCACATGGTGCAGGGGTAAGGTCTCTCTCCCGTGTGAATCCGCTGGTGTCCTTTAAGAGAGTGCGGTGTTCTGAATGTCCTTCCGCACAGCACACAGAGATTGTGTCCCTGAGTGTGGCCGCTGGTCTCCGCCGAGTCCTCCCTCACAGGTACTGGTGTCAGTGCGCTGGAGGGTCCCCCACACTGTAAGGATGGGCTCCCCACTGTGCCCGAGAGAGGCCTCAGAATCATTTCCAAGTCCTGAGACAGATTCTTCTTGATCACGTACATGGGCTGCTCCTCTCTGCTTTCCGAGTCCCCTCTCTGTCGTTGCCACTCATTGTGATCCAGCTCAGATCTCTCTGCTACACTGTGCGCGGACTGTGGCTCAGTCTCATCTTTAATGTGAATGGAATCCAACATGCAAATCCCTGGATTAGTGTAGTCCGAGCATAGACAGGATGCAGGCCGGTTTCTATTGGTGCTCTCCTCTTTAATCTGCACAAACTGTGTCTGGGTTTCATTCTCTATGGTGTACACTGACTGGAAATCAGTGTCCTGTTCCACAATGTCACAGGAATCCAGTTCATTTCTCCCCTCTGTGCTGTGACCCTGCGTACTGATAAACCCCATTTCACTGGAGCGTCCTGTGCTCTTCTCGGGAGTATGAAGCCCATCTGGCCGGAGGTTAGACCCTAATGGCCTGAGCTCCTGTGCCACAGATTCAGACTCTGCTCCTCCGAGCCCTTCTGCACACCGCCTGCTCCGGTGCTGCTCTTCCCTGTCTGGCACTGTGGGCTGAGAGCCCCGCTCCCACTCACAGGGAGGCTGGGCGATGGGAGCCCTTTCCCCAGGGGCGACAGGAGCGCAGGCCTCGACGGCTCCTGGGGAAAGACGAGAGGGCGAAATAACAGACCGTTAGGAAGACAATAATGAAGTGTCATTGTGCCGTATACAATATAGGGACCATTATAAAACTACAACAAAAGAATAATGAATAACCCAGTACCCAATACAATTACAATAACCTTGATAACGGATGTTTTAATATATTGTATTCAGAGGTTATCATAATTGTATTCAACAACAGGAATAAATGAACCCCAAACTATCATGACAAAGACATGTTCAGTATTTCCTTAGATAACTTGGAACCATTCTGTGTTCTACATTTACTTACATGTTAAATGCTTATTAAATAATATTTATATTAGCTTTCCTTAGTTTTAACCTCACAGCATTTTCGGACCAGGGACATGTCAAGTGTATATGCAGTTCAATGGTAATGCTTGGCTCCAGGATGTCTTGTTACAAATATTACTGATGAAGCACAGACACAACATATTAATAATAATAGTGCTCCACCATGCTCACCACACATCCACTCTCAGTGGGGAGGAGAACAGAGTGATGAAGCCAATTTATAGATGGGGGATTATTAGGAGGCCATGATGGGTAATGGCCAAGATAACTCCCCTGCTCTTTTCGAGAAACACCCTGGGATTTTTAATGACCACAGAGAGTCAGGACTTCGGTTTTACATCTCGAAGGACGGCGCCTATTTACAGTATAGTGTTCCCATCGCTATACTGGGGCAGTAGGACCCACATGATCTGCAGGGTGAGCACCCCCTGCTGGCCCCACTAACACCTCTTCTAGCAGCAACCTTAGTTTTTCCCAGGAGGTCTC